TGGTCTTCTCTGTGGGCAGCAGAGGCTCATGCTGAATTTAGTGACCGGTCCACCTCTGTGATGACTGTGTTCTGTGACAGCATGTACACCCTCTTAGTTATCTAACTCTTTTCCTCTGAAAGAGTACTTTCACATTCTTGATCTCTGTTTTCGTGACAACCTGTGAATGTTATTAGCTCCATTTTATATCTAAGGAAACTGAGGCCCGCCCAGAGAGATTAAGAAAAGGGGAAAAGTGAAGTTCATGGCTGCACACTGAGGAGAGAGCAAAGCTGGGACTTGAATTCAGATCTTCTGGTGCCTCCCCTGTACTGGGCACTGCTGTGCTTTGAAACAGCAAAGTCCTGGCTCTCAAGGCTCTGGCTCTATTCTTCTGGCAAGAAAGATGGGTGCCCAGACAACTGTAGTTTGGTCTGAGTGCTGCTTGAGGGAAACACAGGAGGCCAACAGAGCACAGAGGACAGCTACCTAATCCAGCTTGAGGTGGGAAAGTCAGGGCAGGCTTCCTGGAGGAGATGACTCATGGGCCAAGTCATAAAAAAAAGGGTAGGAGTTAGCTAGGACAAGGGGAAGAAGGACTGTTTCATACATCTGACTTTCTCCATATTCTTGGCTTCTCCACTTATTTTCTTGCCAACTACAGAATGGAAAAAACTGAGACCAGAGGTACAAAGCCACCTCACTCCTGTCTCCCACTACATGCCTTCCTCCCCTCTCTCCCATTCTACTCCCCAAATCTTAGGTTTTGAGAAATCTCCTCTATGTTTATCTGCTTGTCGATTTATTTATTCATTGAAAAACATTTATTTAGAACCTATAAGTACATAGCACTATGGCTACAGGGTGTCCTGGCCCCTGCCATGATGAGAGATCTCACTTGCCACAACCTCAAAAGAGATTTTTGGCCCTCTGTCGTTTTCCAGAATTTGGCTTCAGCCAGACTCTTCCCCGCTGCCTCAAGCACTTGCAGACAAGTCTCATCTTGGTCAAACACTTGCATGAACTGCCTTCCTCTGGCTTTCTCATTCCTCCTTCTGCTTCATTGACATGTCTCTTCATCTCCCTTATCAGCCTTGAAAATTCCTTGAGGGCAAGGACCGTGTCCTTACCTTTTCCCTATACTTCACTAGAGTACACCGGTAAAGTCAGGTGAAAAAAAAAAAAACACCTTTTCAATAATCACAAAATTATTACCATTTATTATTCACTGTTCATGCTTTACCTGTGAATACCTCCAATCCTCGTATCTTGGAAAGGTGGTGATAATGTTATCCTTACCTCTTAGGGAAGAAAAGTTGGTCTCAGGAAGGCAAAATGCATTTCTCAAAGGCACAGTCAATCAACAGCAGAGTCCAGCATCAAAATTAGGTTTTTCTGGCCTCACATCCCTGATCTTTCTACCACTCCATTGTTTCTCAGACTCAGCTAGAATTGCCTGGAGAGCTGTATAAAATTCTGATACTTGGGTGTCGGCTCCAAAAGTTCTGAGTAGATGTTGGGGGTTGTAGCCTAGGCATTGGGATTTTTGTAACACTACCTATTTGTTTCTAATCAGAGCCAAAGTTGAGAACCAGTGCACCGTACCACATTGCTTTTCTTTGTCCATACTGGCTGTAGGTGGTGGTGGTGGTAGGGTGTGAATCTGAGTCTCCATGTGTGGTACGCATGTGACTGGAATGCGAGTTCTCTGTAGCCAGGGATCTTTGGCCTTCCCTGCTGCTCCCTGACCCAGCGACCTCACCACCCTGTGCACGTGCACTGCCAAGGGTTGTTGACTATTTAATTGGCCTCTTGGTTCTTCTGTCTCATCCAGGGGATTCACTGATAGATCACATCCAGCTGTTGCCATTCGCAGAGCCTGTTGACATAACAGAAGAGTCTTATAAACATACTTGCTGGTCTCAAGAGTGTTGCTCATGACCTAGACCCATTGCAAGTGCAGCCTAGGTCAGCCTCCCACACTTTAGCAACCCTCTTCTGGAGGGAGGAGGCTGTTGTGAAGTTCCCTAGCATAGTGTCCACGTCCTGCTCTGGCTTTTCACGCTCAGGAGGAATTTGTGGTTCATGAAGTCAGTGAGGGTCAGCTCTTGTGTATACTCTGCTTTATACAGGGCTCAGAGATGTCTTTTTTTTTTTTTTTTTTTTTTTTTTAACCCCTGTTTTATAAGTAAGGCAGTGGAGACGCAGCTTAGGTGAGATACCCTGGCAAATAAATGGATACAGAGCCCAGGTTTTCTGACCCCCATTGTGGTGTTTTCCCCATTGTTCCACAATGGTCAGTGTCTGGCTTTTCATGCCAGGCTTCAATTGAAGCTACTAGCTTTCTTACCTTCTTTCTCGTTTATCCCTACCACAGGGATAAACACCTGGGTGTTACTTTGTGTCACTGGGAATATTAAGATAGGGGTCCTGATTACTCCTGGGGTGTAGCTTGAGAATTGTCCTGGATATCTCCGGGCCCTTCTTGGATCTGCTCAACTGAAAGGAAATCTGTGATGCTGCTCAAATACTTTTGGAATCTTCCCAGCCCTAATCCCACCTCCTATTATTTCTTATCCAGCCATCCTATTTTTGTAATGACCAGTAGTTCTTTGCCAGGCTCTGATCTGGGCACAGGGATACAGAAATAAAACACATATTCTGAGGGCACATGGCTGGCTCAGTCAGTAGAGCACATGACTCTTGTGAGTTCGAGCCCTACATTGAGTGTAGAGCTTGCTTAAAAAGCAACAACACATATTCTGTATACCAGTGGAGATAATATGCAAATAAAGCAACATTCCTTAAGGTATGGTCCCCAGACTCCCTACATTAGAAGTACAAGGAATGCTTATTAAATTGGAGATTCTCAGGTCCCACTGTAGATCCATTATTTCAGGATCTCTAGGAATTGGGCCCAAGAAACTGCATTTTAGTATGCTTCCTAAGTGAATCTGAGGTGCTCTGAGGTTTGGCAACTATAGGAATGAGCCCTGTGGTAACAGTATAGTGTCATATGTGATGGGGAGCACCAGGCAGGTGCACCTATGGAAGCAGCAGGCTGGTTGCTGTTTGCAGGAGCACCTGGTCTGAGGAGTGACACTAGCTGGGCAAAGAACAGCCTCTTGAATGTGTCACAAGGAATAAATAGGCGTTAGCTGGTCAGGTGTAACCGGACAGTCATTTCTCTAGAGATGGGAAGATGTGAATCGTGCTGAATTTATCCTTTCTAGAACTCTAAATTATTAAAGTTTGCTTAAGAACAGACCTGGATCTGGCAGTAATGATGAGAGTCTGGTTGAGCTTTTGTGCCCTCCTCCTGCTTTATCTCATGACCTCCTTCAGCAACCAGTATTAAGCTTCACATTGTAGTCCCATTTGCAGATCACACCTCTATTTTGCTTCAGTTAAATGATTGGGTTTGCAAGGTTTGCCCTCTAGAGGTCTGTTAGTGCCTGGGCCTGTGGGCTGCAGTCTGCGAATGAGCATTGCTTAGTCACGTGGTTGTGATGAGCTGGTTTTCTCTTTATTGAAAGAAGTTGGGTTATTAAGAAGGTGGGGCAGAAGGAGAAGTGGACACATGAAACAGGGGAGGGAAAACTGTACCATTTCAGAGTCAGGAGAGTCCCACCAAACATCTGGTTAGAAAATTCTCATTCTGGAGATAAAAAAGCCTGAGTGTCAGAAAGATGATTTCAAGTACCCAAATGATACCACCAGGCACAGCTTCCAACTCCAGACACTAAACTTGAGGATTTCTCCGGCCAGTGCCTTTTCTGCTTTAATTACCAGACTGTACCTGGAAGGTTTATTATTTAAAAGGATTTTTTATGAAACCCCGTACCAATCCAGTCATGTAGCAGGGTGAATTTTTAAATATATGCTGTGTTTTCCAAAAGCCTGGCAGACCTGGGTTTTGGAGCTCTGTATCATTTGTTCCACAGTTGGAATTAAAATGAGACCACATCCGTCAAAGTGCTTTGATATGCGTAATGCTTCACACCAGCGGCTCTCAAAGTGTGGGGCCCAGACCTGCAGTATCCACATCACCTGGAAGCTCAAGGGAAATGTGAATTCTCTGGCCTCATCCTGGGCTGGCTGAATCAGAAACTCTGGGGGTGGTGTGGGGACCAATAATCTGTTTTAACAAGACCTCAGGTGATTCTGATGCCCACTCAAGTTTAGGAACAACTCTCCTGCAAAAGAGAAAATCAGCCCCTGGGGCTTGTGGGACTAAGGTTTTAAATATCTCCGATTTGTAGCTGAGATGGCATTGGGGAGACAGGAGCAGGGGTGTTAGTTTCACAAATTTCAGATGGGTTGGGCGAGATCACCTAAAGGGTTTGTTTTTTTTCCTCGAAAAGCAAGGAAAAGCTATGTGAGTGTGTGGAGCACTGTAGTGCTTTTGAGGCTAGGAGCACACGCTGACTGTGGTTCTACACATCTTCAGAAGACATTCTTTTCATCTCTCCTGTAAAGCAAAGCTCCCTGAACGTCATTTCTCTGTATGCTTAAGCCAGGAACCTGTGGCTATCAATTTGTTTAAAACGAGGCCATTAGGGGGTACCTGGGTGGCTCCGTCGGTTAAGCTTCCAACTCTTGATTTCAGCTCAAGGTCTGAAGGTGAGCTTGAGCCCCGTATCAGGCTCTGTGCTATGTGGAGCCCACTTAGGATTCTCTCTCTCTCTCTCTCTCTCTCTCTCTCTCTCTCTCTCTCTTTCTCTCTCTCTCTCTCTCTTTCTCTCTCTCTCTCTCTCTCTCTCTCTCTCTCTTTCTCTCTCTCTCTTTCTCTCTCTCTTTCTCTCTCTCTCTCTCTCTCTCTGTACATGTGCATGCTCCCTCTCTCCCTCTATCTCTCAATAAACACACAAAAAAAAAAGAAAGAAAGAAAAGAAAAAAGAAAAAAATAGTTAAAAAAAATGAGGCCATCAATATTATTTTTCTCCACCTGCCCCATTGTGCTGACTACTTTTTTTTTTTTTTAACTTATTAAATGAAAATAAAATACTATTTCTCGGCAGGCTTGAAGCTTCAGGATTTCCTAGTGGACAATGAAACCTTCTCTGGATTCCTGACTTACAACCTCTCTCTGCCAAGGCCTACTGTGGACAAAATGCTGGGGGCTGATGTCAGTCTCCACAAGGTAAGCTGTAAGATTCGGCTTCCTTGGGGGGCTGATGGCAGTTACATTGTTTGAGAGTCCCTGTCTTTGTAATGGTGCTCAAGTTCACCTTCACCAGCTTTCACTTCTCTGCCCAGGCTGGCATTGCCCCACCATCCAGAGAGTGGAATGTGCAGCCTGGTGTCGTGGGCCAGCTGGTTGAGATAAAACTGGTTTCCTGCCTGTCAACTAGCATTTGTTGATAACATCCCCCTAAAGGGGAAGGGAGATGAATTCAAGTTAAGATAAACATTTAAAAAAAATTTTCTTTTACAGTTCTGAGATGGTAATCAGAGTTGAGGAGTATTGATCAGAGCAACTATCTATAAAATCTAAGACAGGAGATTTTAAAAGTTGATGCTTCCTTTAATGATGGACAAAAAAAATCTATAAGGAGAAAATGTTTTTTTTTCCCCTTAATTTGTAAAACCAGGAAGTAATGGTAGTTTATGTAGAATTTTAACCTTAGATTCTCAGACCCCTTCCTTTGGCATAATTGGATATCATACAGCTCCTGGGCTGTGAGTAGCAGACCCTGATTGCATGGCTCTCGATTTTCATAGAAGGTTCTCCAGTGTATTCTCTGGCAGAAAGGGGCACTGCTTCTTTAGCCTGTCTCTTGTCTACACACTAGCTTATATCTTTACAATAAGCAGAAGCATTGGAAATGTTTATGCCTGATTAAAAAAAAAAAAAAAGGTCTTCGTTTTATGTGATGTAGAATTTTTAAAATTAGAAAAATGTGCTTACTGCTTGCCCTTATAAAACGAGGAAAATATGCCTTGTGTTTACCAGTTGTATGGTCGGGAGATGGGCCAAAGGCAGCAGTCTTGTTAAAACAGTTGCATTTAGCATAATTTCCATTTCCCCCTGCCAGTTTCATCTCTGTCCCATCAGGTCAGTTTAAAATAAGGGGCATCCTACGCATGGAGGTGGTCCTTGCATAGTATTAGAATCTCTCTGTGGTCGGTGCTCTCAAACACCGATACTGAAGGTAGGCTGACGGCAAGGACTACTTAGAGAAAGGAGGAAAACTGAAGTACACTTGCGTGTCTGGCAGTAGGTGAAGACTTACCGGAAACCATGGCAGGCCAAGTGCTCTGTCACGTTAGAAGGCTGCATAGGTTTGGAGAGGCTCTTGATCCATCACTCATTCTTGATTGCACTACGAGCAGGTCAAGCTGCATTGATTTAAACAGGAGAGGTAATAATGGAGTAATACAGAGTCTGCATCATTCATCCATTCCACAAATATTTACTGTCTGTAATGTTTCAGCACTGTGGACAAGAAAAGTGAGCAAGAAAACCAAGCCCCTCCTCTTACTGAATTTGCTGTCTAATTGGACAGTAAGGACCATGTATGAAGAAGGGCAGTTTATTGAGGCCCAGAAAAGCTAATTAAGTAAGCAAAATATGGCCAAGGAAAGGCTCTCCAGGGGTCTGCTGTAATGAATACTTAAGAGTGACTTAGAATTGGCCTTCAATGAGATGAAAAAGAGGCTCAGCTTTCTGTTACTCTGCTCTGGGGCAAATCAAATGAAGAGTTCCAAATTCTGAAATTGCTTCAACATAGTTTTTTGGATCAGTGAAATAGCTATACCTACAAATAAATAGTATGAATGCTCTTTTTTTTTTTTTTTTTTCATAATTTGGTCCAACCCCAGTTTAAGATCGCATAAGTTCCAAAATAATGGGAGTTTTTTTCTCTAATAAAAGTGGTTTCAGGAGTTTGAACTCTCAATTCCTATTTGCTGAATCATGTGTCCCATTTTTGAGACAAAGAGTTGGACTCAGGATTTCCCTTCACAAGGACAAGAGCGTGGGAGATGATGAGTCAAACACAACATTCAGGCTTTAAGTTTTCTGTTGGATTGTGCCCTGATACATTCCAAAGTTGGGTAAAGAGATCTGATGCAGTGGACTATTGCAATGGTGTCCATTCTTCAAAGCTATATTGGCCCACCACCTACCCCATCTTCTTAATCCAGTTTCCCTTGACTCTTTTTGCATGAAATGCTTCTAGGTATTTTTGCAAGGCTACCAGTTACATTTGACCAATCTGTGCAGTGGATCAAAATTAGAAGAGGTGATTCAACTTGGTGACCAAGAAGTTTCCATGCTGTGCGGCTTGCCAAGGGAGAAACTGGATGCAGCAGAGCAAGTACTTCGTTCCAATGTGGACATCCTGAAGCCGATCCTGGTGAGTACGCTTGCTGTGTGGAGAAGCTTCAAGCACTAATACTTTTGGAATGTGAACATTTTCCCTGGACAACATAACTTTGTTTTTGTGGAAACATAAGCCTGGCTGGAAATTTGAGAGATAATTTAGCTCATTCGTATTCTGTTCTTTCAAACTTCTGGGCTTTTTCCCAAAAGGTAAAAGGGGGAAGAATGAGTTGGGTATGGCTCTGAGTCTAAACCTAAGGTCCCCTTGTGCCTGTTTCAATCAGAGAAAACCTATTTTTTATGTTGTGGGTTTTTTTATATTGTAATTTGAGATTATAAGAGTTCATTTGAAGAAAGAGTTCTCCAGATTAAAAACAAAAAAATCTCAGAAATCTTTGGGAAGATGGACATCCATTCTTAAAAAGCATATCAACAAGGAGACACTGAGCTGTCACAGTGGGAAAACCTTAGAATTGGATGGGAGTACCCGTAATCATTAGATTAACCAATGACGGAATTACACCTACAGAAAAAGGAAATTGCAACAAAGTCTGATCAGCCTAGGAAGCAATAGTTCAGAGAAGCAGTCTGAGAGTATACATGTTCATTCTTAATCAAAGAATACAGACGAACCTGAGCATTTTGGCCATCAGAGGGTTGTGTATAGCTCTAGAACTGGTAGATTTCTTTGTTTTTTTGAGAGCTCTTGTGACCTGCCTCTCCAACAACATCATTTAGCATCCAGTGTTCTGATTTCCTACTCACCAGATAGCACTCTGAGTTGTCAGTAGAATCTCTTAATACGAGGGAAAGAGCCTTGGAAGAAGTATGTGCCTGAAAAGAGATGTTCCTCATTATAAAAGCAAGAAATGAGAATCCTCTGGGACTTTGTGCAAGCATGATTTCTTTATAGGGAGATCCATTCTCCTGAGGCTTCTAAGAATGGTTTCTAGACTTTGTGCCTGGATTGTACCTTAGAAAGTGACCTTTAGAAACCTCTCCTGAGGTTTACATGCTAGACCGACTATCAAGAAGTTCTTGCAGCCTTGTTGGGACACCTGGGTGGCTTAGTCAGTTAAGCACCTGACTCTTGGTTTTGGCTCAGGTCATGATCTCACAGTTTGTGAGTTTGAGCCCTACGTGGGGCTCTGTGCTGATGGTGCCAGGCCTGCTCGGGATTCTCTCTTTCTTCTTCTCTCTTTGCCCCTCACCTGCTTGTTCTCTTTGTCTCAATAAATAAACTTAAAAATTTTTATTATAAATTAAAAAAAAAATAAAGTTCTTGTATCCTCCTTGACTCTATGATGCTGTAGCTTCTGCCTGAGTAGGTAGTAAGAAAAATAGGTGAGTTTTAGGTTTTGGTTTTTTTTTTTTTGTGGCAAGGTTGATGGTGAACCAGTTGGTATGAAGGGCGTAGGCCTAATGCTTAAGATCTGTTTTTGTTTGTAAAACATTTTTTTTAATGTTTTTATTTATTTTTGAAGGAGAGATAGAGCGTGAGCAGGGGAGGAGCAGAGAGAGAGGAAGACATAGAATTTGAAGCAGTCAAGCAGCTCTAAGCTGTCAGCATAGAGCCCGATGTGGGGCTTGAACTCACGAACTGTGAGATCATGACCTGAGCTAAAGTCGGATGCTTAACCGACCGAACCACCCAGATGCCCTAAGATATGTTTTTGTTTTATTCCAGTAGTAGTATTTTCTGTTTCAGTTAGAAAAAAATACTGAGTTGCTTTGTTCAATAGTCTGGTATTCTATTGGTTAATGTTTCTATAGTATAATTTCAAATAAGATCTGTATTTCTGAATGTGGATGTTTGCAGTCCCAGATGACTGGTCTCCGTGGCTACATTAGCTCATTTGTGCAGACACGTAGCCTGTTGGCACTTGTTGCATTGTGCCAGAAAGATGGTTATAAATGGTAGACCATTTCCTTGTATAGTTTTGGCTGTTTTGCCTTATTTCAGTACAAGGCAGAAATGTTCACTCAGCCAGAAATGAGGCACATTTTGGAAATATGGGTGCTTTTAGAAGTCCTAGTAACTTATATTGGTGCCCGTTCATCATTCGTTTCTGTTTAATCATTAAACACTTACTGTGTGCACAACCCAGAAAATCCTTCCACTCACACAGTGTCTGAATTGGACTCCAAGTAGAATGACAGCACAGCCTTCGTGATCTGACAATCACCAACTTAGGTTTCAACCGAAAATCCCTCCCTGGTTGGGAGGGTTGGCATGATAGGGTACATGGACATGTGCCATCAACACTGTCAGCTATGTTGCAGCCCATCCTGGTGTAGTTGTGCCTTCTTGATTTATGACTGGGTATTAAGGTCACTGCCATATGCTTTTTTGCACATTTCTTATGCCCAGGGAGTATTTCCGGTTCTGCTTCTGCCTGTCTGCTGTTGCTGAAAACTCTGTCTCCATAAAGTCAGAAAATGAGGTTCTTGAATCATAGTGAGTGGTCAAAATTGTTCTGTGGAAAGGTGATTTTGGAGGATACCTTTGGGATAAAATGACTTCTAAACATTTTGAAATGTGACTCTCATTTCTTGAGTTAAACAGGGCCTTAATTGGAGCACTGGAATTGATACTGCATTTACATTAAGCAGACTTTTACTCCTGCCATTTGGTTAACACTTCAGCCACTTTGATGGTAGATGAATGTGACCTGCGACATCATTGCTCATGGGCAGTTGATCACACCAAGAAACACAACAGGAGAAGCAACCAGATGCCAGGACCAGCGTTGGGGGGAGAGAAACTGTGCTGTCAGTTTGTGTTTCTGTACCCAAAGCAGATTTTCAGGGAAGACCTGTTTTGAAGCATTTCTCCTCTTATTTTTGTTTTTTGTTGTTTTTTTGTTTTTTGTTGTTGTTGGTGGTGGTATGGATGTGTCCCTGTTCTTCAGCCAAGATATTCTTTCTCCTGGGCCTCCTCTGTCTCCTGATGACCTTTGGACAATAGTGTTTAGACAACATGGGGGAGGTATGGCAGAGTGGCTGGGGGCATGGGCTTGAGGTCAGCTGCATCTAGGTTCAAACTCGGCCTTAGCAGTTTTACCAGTTGGGTGACCTTTGATAAATTTAGTGTCAGTAAGCCTCAGTTTCCTCTTCTTTTACATACAGATAATCTAGTTTACCCTTTGTTGTGATTATTGGTCGTGCATATGAAGAACATGACAAGGGGTCTGGCATGCATTAGTTGTTCAGTAAATAGAAGTTAATCATCACTAGAACTGTTTTCATGCTGAAGGCAATTGCTAGCGAGATAGAAATTTTCTTCTGTGTTAGGTATCCATCCTAACCAAGCAAAGTAGCTCTGAAGAACATTTCAGTGAAAATTTTTATTCTTTGCCTAGATATTGTCAAGGCTTCTTACCTTCTAGATTCTTATTCAGGAGCATACCTCAATTATTTATACCTTGAATGAAAATGAATACTGGTTGTCAGAATTCTATTGCATCCTTAAAGTTCTCTGGGATTAATAGTGGTTTCCATTAGGCATTCTTTTAATTTAAAAACCTATTCATTTATTGAACTATGTTGAGTTCATTTTATATGTCAGGTATGTTTTGGGAGCTAGACTCTGCTGAGATCCTCACAAAGATGGCTTCTGATGAGTACAAGGTTAGGTCAATACATGAAATATATGTCCAGGATACATGCATTTATGGAGGGAGACTTGTGTTCATAGTACTTGTACCATTGAGATAACCGCTAGCAGGGGATTGTAGCCATCTAGCAGTGACTTCTTTTTTTTTTTTTTAATTTTTTAATGTTTATTTATTTTTGAGAGAGAGAGAGAGAGAGAGAGAGAGAGTAGGGGAGGGGCAGAGAGGGACACACGGAACTCGAAGTAGGCTCCAGGCTCCACGCTGTCAGCAGAGAGCCCGACATGGGGCTCAAACTCATGAACTGCGAGATCATGACCTGAGCTGAAGTCAGATGCTTTACCAACTGAGTCACCCAGGCAGCCAGCAGTGACTTCTTTTGTTTCACTGCTCAGCAAGGTGGATTTGGCTGTTATAGTTGGCTGGGCAGGCGAACTTCCCCTTGCCTTCCTTGTGGGTCCTTCCTGAAGCAGCACCTACCTTACCCAGACAGGAGAAATCTATATGGGGGCTTCTGTCTGCTGTCTTCCAGTAACTTCCAATCTGTTTTGGACTGCAAGAAGGAGCCATATTAGTGGATCAGCAAATTTTGGCCAGAGGGATTTGCTTCTCTTGTCAAGTCCTTGCTGATTGCATTTGTTCTTTTATTGATGTAACAAATAGCCACACACCTAGCAGCTTAAAACAAAATGAATTTATTAGTTCATAATCCTGTAGGCCAGAAGTCTGGGTACAGTGTGGTTCACCTGGGCCTACTCCTTATTGTTGCACAAGATTGAAATCAAAGGGTTTACAGAGCTGTATTCCTTTTTCGAGGCTCTGAGGATGCCTCTGCTTCTGAGCTCATTCAGGTTATTAGCTGAATTCAGTTCCTTGCAGTTGTAGGACTGAGGTCTCTGTTTCCTGGCTGGATGTCAGCTAGAGGTGGGTCTTTGGTCCTAGAGGCTGCCATCATTCCTTCCCATGATTTTCATGTGGCCCCTGTTCCAGCCACAGTGGGTTAAGACCCCCTCATGCTTTAAATTTCTGTATTTTTCTCTGCCACATCTCTCTGCTTCTAGCCAGAGAAAGTTCTCTCACTTTATGGGTTCATGTGATTAGATTGGACTCATCTAGATGATATAGGATAATCTCCCTGTTTTAACCTCTATAACTTTAATTATATCTGTAAAGTATAATTTACCATGTGATCTAACATATTCAGGTGCCTGGGACTAGGATGTGGACTGCTTTGGGGAGGGCACTCATCCTGCCACAGATGTCTTTTAACTGAAAGGTATATTTCATTATGTCTTTGAAGTGCTTCCTCAGTGCTCTCGGCTTTTTATTAACCCCTCGTCAGCTCTGTACATTTTCTTGCCCATATTCTGAGAGAGACTCTAAAGCATAATAAACACTACCCATTAGGGTTTTTAATGCA